TGCAGGTGCGCTGGAGGTGATTAGGGTGCGTTGGGTTTCCATTCCGGTGTTGCCGAGGTGGTGCGCTCAGACCGGTGGCTCAGTAGACCGGCGAATCAGAGTGCCGGAGGGGAGCAACAGGAGGAGATGTGACAGTACCCCACCCCGAACGCGCGGCTCCCGCCGCAGGACATCGCCAGCCAGGAGGACGACCCCGAGGACGAGGAGCGGGCCGGTCAGGGCGGCGACAGTGGAAGTCCCGAATTAGGTTGGGGTCCAGAATGTCCCCAGCCGGAACCCAGCTCCTCTCCTCAGGACCATACCCCTCCCAGTCCACCAGGTAATGGAGTCATCCCCCACGGAACCTGGAGTCCAACAGGTCCCTCACCGCATGTGCCGGACTCCCGTCAATGTCCAGGGGCGGGGGGGGGGGGGGGGGGGGGGGGGGGGGGGGGGCGTCGGCCAGAGGACAAGGAACCACCGGCCTGAGGAGAGACACATGAAAAGTGGGTGAGACATGGTAGTGAGGGGGAAGGAGCAGCCGGTACGATACCTCATTTATCCGCCGGAGGACCTTAAACGGCCCCACAAACCGGGGGCTCAGTTTCTTGCAGGGCAGGCAGAGAGGGAGGTTTTTTGTGGACAGCCAGACACGATCACCAGGCTTGAATGCCTCACTGCGGTGGCGGTCGGCTTGGTCTTTCTGCCGACGAATGGCCCTCTGGAGATGGACATGGGCGGCCCTGCGGAACAACTTGTCGACAGCGGGCGCATCGGTCTGGCTGGGTGTCCAAGGGGCCAGGGCCGACTCGCACTGGAAGGGAGTGAGCCCCGTGGAGGAGTGAACGAGGGAATTCTGGGCATATTCTGCCCAGGGAAGAAACCTCGCCCACTCACCCTGCCGGTCCTGACAGTGATTTGGAGAACCGATCTACGACCACCAGGACTGTGGTGAAGCCGTCAGAACATGGGAGGTCGGTGACAAAGTCTATGGACAGGTGTGACCAAGGTCGCTGAGGCACTGGGAGAGGAACTAGTTTGCCTGACGGAGCGTTCCAAGGTGTCTTCGTTTGGGCACATATGGAACAGGAGTTGATATAGCGGGAGACATCAGTAGCCAAGGTGGGCCACCAGTATTTTTGTGAGAGAGAATGTAGAGTGCGCGTCATACCGGAGTGCCCTGCCATAAGGGTGGTGTGCGCCCAGATCAGCAGGTGGTCACGGACACTGGTGGGTACATACACACGCCCCGGAGGGTCGTTGGCAGGTGCTGGGTCCTCCTGAGCTGCCAGGCGGGTGTCTTCATCCACATCCCAAATGACAGGTGCCACGATGAGAGACGGAGGCAGGATAGGACCCCCCCGATCCTTCCTTTCTCCAGTATGGTGCATCCTGGAGAGTGCGTTGGCCTTCACATTCTGGGATCCTGGGCGGTAGGACAGAATAAACTGAAAGCGAGTAAGAATTTGGGTCCACCTGTCTTGACGTGAGTTCATCTGTTTCGCTGCCCGTATGTGCTCCAAATTCCGGTGGTCAGTGAGAATCCAGAATGGATGGACTGCGCCCTCCAGCCAGTGTCTCCATTCCTCCAGAGCGAGGACCACCGCCAACAGCTCCCTGTCTCCAACTCCATAGTTCCTCTCTGCGGATATAAGCTTTTTTGAGAAAAAGGCACAGGGATACATTTTCTCTGGCTTACCTTGACGCTGTGAGAGGACCCCACCCACGCCCTCCTCAGATGCGTCCACCTCCAGGATGAAAGGACGAGCTGGATCTGGGTGTTTTAGGAGGGGAGCTGTGGTGAACCTCTCCTTCAGCTTCTTGAAGGCAGCGTCAGCCTCAGGGTTCCAGGCCAGCTTCTGAGGCCCACCCTTAAGGAGAGAGGTGAGCGGGGCGGCTATGGAGCTGAAGGACCTGATGAAACGCCGGTAGAAATTTGCGAAGCCCAGGAAGCTCTGTAGGCCCTTGATGGTGGTGGGGACTGGCCATGAACTGACGGCGTCCGTCTTCACTCTTTCCATGAACACCCCCTGAGGCCTGATCCTGTATCCCAGGAAGGAAATGGCCTGTTGGTGGAATTTGCATTTCTCCCCCTTCACCAACAGGCTGTGTTCCCAGAGGCGGAGTAGGACCGCTCAGATGGAACACGGAAGGTGCTTTGGCGAGGATGTAGCTCAGATGGGGCATGACGCAGTATTCATAGTGGCCTGAGGTAGTGCTGTATGCCGTCTTCCACTCGTCTCCTTCCCGGATTCGGATCAGGTTGTAGGCACGCCTCAGGTCCAACTTGGTAAAGTACCAGGCCCCTCACAGCTGCTCGATGGCCGACGGAAGCAGTGGGAGGGGGTACCGGTACTTGGTGGTGACTGCGTTCAGCCCCCGGTAGTCAATGCATGGCCTCAGTCCTCGTCTTTTTTGGCCACAAAGAAGAAGCTGGCGGAGGCAGGAGAGGTAGAGTGTCTGATCAACCCCTGTTTCAGGGTCTCCACCACATACTTCTCCATGGCCTCAGTCTCCGCTATGGAAAGGGAGTAAATGCGACTCTTCGCTGGGTGTTGTCCCTCCAGCAGGTCAATGGCGCAGTCCCAGGGCCTGTGAGGAGGGAGACACTTAGAAGATATTGAAGAGATCTGCGTACTCACATGAAATGTTGGGCTGGAGGGCCGACTCCTAACTCTCCACTGACGTGGAACAACAAACTACCGCAGGCAGGTCCTCCGCCATGAGGGGGACCAGGCTGTGATCCTCTTGGTGATCCAATTGATGGTGGGGTTGTGTAGTCTGAGCCAGGGCAATCCGGTGAAGGGGTGATGTGACGATGAGGAAGGACAGCTCCTCGTGGTGCTCCGGTAGTGTGGGAATGGTGATGGGGAGAGTGACGTGCGTAATGGTGCTTGATCCGGGTGGTTTATTGTCCAGCGAGGTGACGTGTAACGGAGAAGGCAGTGGCACGGCGGGCAACCCCCATTCAGAGACCAGCTCCCAATCGATAAGGTTCCCCGCTGATCCGGAATCTATCATTGCCGTGGAAAGCGAAGAGAAGGAAGAACCGTTCACCAATAAGGGGAACTAAAAACTATGGTTTGGTGACAGGTGATGACGGAACACTCACGGAGCGGCGACGGGAGTCATACCGCCTAGATAGGGAGCCGCCAGGAGATCTGTGATCCGTGGTGGTGTAGGGGGTGCTGCCCATGGGTGAGGACTCGGAGGCAGGGCGGCTACCATAGCTCAGATGGGGTGAGTGTCGAGGCTCCGGGTGGTGTTGGGAACGCCGTCGGTCTCTCAACATGTCGTTGAGACGAATGGACGTGGTGTAAAATCAGAATTCAAGAAATTGTTGTTTAAAGTGCCTCTCCTAGAAAATGATGAATGGGAAACACCAGACTATGGAGAAGAGTCTGAAACACAGAGATCCTATTCAATTAGGATTCTAATTCCTAATTATATGCTGAAACAATTGTTGCTAACAGACTGCTACAGAGTCTGTCTCTAGCCAAAGGGAGGGAGTCCTACTGCCTATGGTTGGCCATATGCTTACAGTTCTGGGACAGCCGAGCATAGAGGAGGCGACAGTACAGTCCTGTGACAGCCGAGCACAGAGAAGGGGGACAGTACAGTCCTGTGACTGCCGAGCACATAGAAGTGGGACAGTACAGTCCTGTGACAGCCGAGCACAGAGGAGGGGGACAGTACAGTCCTGGGACAGCCGAGCACAGAGGAGGGGGACAGTACAGTCCTGTGACAGCCGAGCACAGAGGAGGGGGACAGTACAGGGAAAGACCGGCTCCAGAGGCGACCTATCCTCTCTGCTAAGCATCAGCAGACAGACAGACAGACAGGATGGTTTTAGTTGGGGGGGTGATGATGATTACAGGTCAAAGCCAACAGGAGAGGCCTGGGGTTAGCAGGGTAAGCTCTCTATGTGTGGACTGTTCACTCAACAGCTTGATTTGGTTGGAGCGTTTGTCACTGGAATGTGAACTGGCATCCATTCTGTTTGAATTATGACACGAACCTGGATTACACTACAGTATGTCATTTAGATGACTTTCCTTGACTTCTTCACGTGTCGTTGATGCTGTATTTTCATATGTACAGGGGACTACATATTGCTGGTAGACTCTTGTGTTTGTAAAGTAGCTATGATAACTTGTCAAGTCAAAGTACCAAACAATCATCTCCAAGAGGAGTCTCTGACCAGAGCACATTCTGATCTATCTAACACATCATATCTGATCCAGTGCTCTTAGTATGTTTTGAGATATTTCAGCTAGTGAAGACTGAAACAGAGGTATAGGCAGGAGACAAAGAGACTGATTAAAGAACTTTCACGTTGTCTCACCAACAGCTGCTGTTTAATTAAAAGGTGACTCATGTTCCTAGGAATATATATCCTTCTGTGTCTGTCTCTGTCACTGTCTCTCTCTCTCTGCATCGATATCTTGGTAAAAATCACACAATTGCTTTATTATTTAGGGAGTTTTCTGGACTAATATGCCTGTTTAAACGAAGCCAATGAGATCCATCAATCAAGTATTTGTTTTTTGTATATGGCTTTTTAGAAATATACTTGTCACATTTTGTGACTCACATGTGCTGAACAAGATCCCAGCCTGATCCTTTATCTGTTTGAGCTCTTATCTACTCCATACAGTTCTGCAAACCAAAAGGAGTGGTATGATGGCAGGAAAAGACTGGTACCCACTACCAGCCTACCAAAGAGCAAGGAGACTGGACAGATATTTCCTCATTCACTCAAAAGGATGACACCTCATTCATTCCAACACACTTTATAACAGTGACTGAACGTTTTTTAAGACTTGAATACTTTAAGCCCTTCTGCATCAATGAACCTTCACCGATAGGTTTGAGGGAATGAGAGGGCCAGTCAGAGGGTTTAACTGCATTAAGACTGCCAGGCCACGTCCCAGTGAGCCACTGGTTGGGTGAATGGCTTTTTGTTTATTGCTAGTACTAATAGATTGCACACTTTCTCTCTCTGGAGTGTATTTTATTTGATGAAGGTGATGTTAATTAACGTTGCTATGGTTCTTCTCTCCCTCCTCCCTTTTCTCTGTTAGCTCTATTCTGATTCTTTCTTCTCTCTGAGCTAGCTCTCTCTATCTCTCTCTCTCTCTCTTCTCTCTCTCTCTCTCTCTCTCTCTCTCTCTCTCTTTCTCTCTGTCTCTCTCTCTATGTGATGAGTGAATAAATTAATTAGTAAATAGAAGGTTATCCAGATTGTATGTATTGTGCTTTATGAGCTGTTTGACATTCAAAAACGCTAAGATAAAAAGAAGAGGGGAGAGAGAGAGAGAGAGAGAGAGATAGAGAGAGAGAGAGAGAGAGAGGAGAGAGCAGAGCGAGAAGAGAGAGAAGAGAGAGAGAGAGAGAGAGCTAGAGAGGAGAGAGGGAGAGAGATGATTTCGTTCTTATTGGTGTTTTTCGATGGCAGGCGAGTTAGCGTCTCTGCTTAGTTCTATCCTCTCTATGCTCTGATCTTCTATATTCTATCTCTTATCTCTCTCTCTCTTTCTCTCTCTCTTCGTCTCTCTCTCTCTCTCTCTCTCTCTTCTCTTTCTCTCTCTCTGTCTCTCTCTCTCTCTCTCTTTCTCTCTCTCTCTCTGTCTCCTTCTCTCATCTCCTCTTCTCCAGTTTGTGGCCTTTGCCTCCTTGTTCTTCATCCTGGTCTCGATCACCACCTTCTGCCTGGAGACCCATGAGGCATTCAACACCATCACCATCATCAAACAAGTCTGAGGCGGTGCGCAACGGCAGCCTGCCGGACCTGGGTCCTGATTACATCATCGAGACGGACCCGGCGCTCACTTACGTGGAGGGTGTCTGCGTGCTTTGGTTCACCCTGGAGTTCATGGTGCGCGTCATCTTCAGCCCAGACAAGCTGGAGTTTGTCAAGAGCCTGCTCAACATAATCGACTTTGTGGCTATCCTGCCTTTCTACCTGGAGGTAGGTTTGAGCGGGCTGTCATCTAAAGCAGCTAAGGACGTCTTAGGCTTCCTCAGAGTGGTAAGGTTTGTCAGGATCCTGCGTATCTTCAAGCTGACGCGTCACTTCGTGGGGCTGCGGGTGCTGGGTCACACCTTGAAGGCCAGCACCAACGAGTTCCTCCTCCTCATCATCTTCCTCGCCCTGGGCGTGCTCATCTTCGCCACCGCGATCTACTACGCCGAGCGCATCGGCGCCAACCCCAATGACCCCACGGCTGGCGAACACACCATGTTCAAGAACATCCCCATCGGCTTCTGGTGGGCCGTGGTCACCATGACCACGCTGGGTTACGGTGACATGTACCCGCAGACGTGGTCGGGCATGCTGGTGGGCGCGCTTTGCGCCCTGGCGGGTGTGCTGACGATAGCCATGCCCGTGCCTGTCATCGTCAATAACTTTGGGATGTACTACTCGCTGGCCATGGCCAAGCAGAAGCTTCCCAAGAAGAGGAAGAGGCACATCCCCCAGGCCGCACTGGGGGGATCCCCAACCTGCCTCAAGGTAGACCTCAACACCACCTGCAACAGCCCCCAGGGGGACCTCTGCAACACAAAGGGGAGCAGGGTGCTGGAGCGCAACCAATCAGGTGAGACCGCTAGCACTCCTCCATTGTATCTTAAGGTGGAATTTGTCAGTGGGCTAGAGGTTATCCATGTATAGACAGAAGGGGAGGGAAATGGGGGAATCTATAAGGGATCTCATTCAGGTGGAAACGGCGGCCATTTAACAGACCCCCCCCCCTTGAGAGACTCTACCGCCGCTGATAGAACGCCCATAGACCATTTAGCACTTCTGCCCCGCAGTCACAGCTATCCTCCAGTTGCCACGGAGATAAGAGAATGATGTGAAAGGAATTGATGGGTCGAAGATGAGAATGATTGCTGTGAAATAATTCTTCACTAATAAGATTTTGGACGAAAACATAAAAAGCATTTGACGCTTGAGGTTTTAAAGTAGGGATTGTTCATTTGTGACTTGACTGTACAGGCCCGTTTTTCCCATGTAGGCGGTCATCTGTAAATCACTCTGATATTGATGGAAATTAGTGATGACCCCTGTCTCCTTGGTTTCTTTTAACTACAGTATAATCCAGTATTTCCTCAGGGTATGCACATGCTCTGGTTTCTTTGCAATATGTTGCTTTATTAAATGTGAAATATTAATATTTAATAATTTCAGAACTAGCCATGCTTTAATACATGTATTCAAATACAGATAAAATCTGTTGAGAAGCCAGCATTATTTTATTTTTTTGGTGGGGGTGTAATTTGAAACGCAGACAATAGCCTTGGCTATTTATTCTTAATATGCTGTGTGCAATCAAATGACATGCTGAATTCAAAATTGATTTAAAAAAAATAGATTAATTCTAATTAAGCTTTTTCATTATAAGATGTGAGTAATGATACATTTCAGCATGTTTTGTTTTGGCTTTTGGCAAGCTCTTTTATAGGCAGACACTAGGTGCGGTGAGACCATCAATTGGGGTCCTGTCTATTTTACCTTTGACCCCTGTCCCCCAGCGCGCCTGGTCCTCATGGCATTTGGCAAGCGCTCTTGATGTGGGAGGCTGTTTGATGTGTGTCCTGATTCGATCCCTTGACCCTCCTTTTTCTCGCCCCCTCTTCCCCCCAACCCCCCTTAACCCCTCCTCCTCCTCCACCTCTTCCTCCTCCTCTCTCCCTGCGGTCACCAGTACTGTCAGGGGACTGCAGTGGAGGCAGTGATGTCACCATGTCCCCCAGCACAGAGGAGAGGGTTCCCATGCGCAGGTCCAGCACCCCAGAGCAGGAGCGGAGGAGTGGGGGGACGTGCTTCCTGCTGGCTGCCAGTGACTACACCTGCCCTGCCGACGGTGGGATCAGGAAAACAGGTACTGCACCGTCCCTCTGGATCAGTATCCTTATGCATGTGCATCAGTACCCGTCACCATGGAAGTGTCCATTCTCATGGCTTTTGTTTGGTTTTGAAAGGCATGGCAGATGTCAATGTCATATTCCTCCCTGACATTTATCCATTATTCATTGTTACATCTTTATTGGGAATTCATAAATCATCATTAATTAATGGTGATTCATAACGAAATCACTTCGGGGTTTCTGTCACTGCTCATTCAAGGATGTGGTGCTTAATTTATGGTATTGGTCACTAAACACCGCCACTAAATGTAATCCACAAGTCTAGCTAGTGTGATAAGGGAGACCTACTGCTACATCCAGTTTACACTACTCACCCCTCAACGCTTGGATGATCCACGAAAAGTCTCCTTCCTGCATCTGCACATATGTTGAATTTCTTCCAGGGAAGTAGAGGAAGACAGAGAGGCCCTCGTCTGCTAATGTAATCCAGCCTGAGGCTATAGGGGAATGTTGCAGTGGCGCAGTCCTGTAGTGTGTCTCTGGAAAGGTCATGTGTGGCGACCCAGTCCGCCCACCACTGTGCCCTAAAGATCATCATAAAGTTAGTTTCCATCTGCCGCCCCAGATAGAGCAGACAAAGCGTGCGATAAGCCTTCTCTCTTTTGAAAGGCATGCTAAATGCCGTCACTGAAATGTAGACTAAAGAACACCACACAGTGCAATACTAGACACTAGACAAACAGAAACAATAGGAACAGAATCAAGGTTGTTTATGAGGTCATGACCTGCTGTTTGTACAGGTGCTGCCTGTGTGGTGTTAGAATGACCTGCTGTTAGGACACAGAGCTAATTGAAAACGTACTTTACTCGTAGGTAACGTAAATAACATAACCTCCACGCAGGGAGGAACAAACCCGCTCACCAGATGACAACCAAACATGAACAAACACGCACAAAACACAGTGGGAGCCAGAGGGTTAAATAGGGAAGAAATCAATACATAATGGGAACCAGGTGTGAACAATAAAGACAAAACAAGTAGAACACAGAAACATAGATCGGTAGCAGCTAGTACTCCGGCAACGACGAACGCCGAAGCCTGCCCGAGCAAGGAGGAGGAGCAGCCTCGGCTGAATCCGTGACAAGGGTCTGGCAGACAACCCACTCCCCTGTGTGTAATTGTAGAATGGCAGGGTTATAACTGTCATTTAGGGTTCATGTTAATTATAGCATTATTAATATAGTACGCTTTGATCTGTTCCAGAAGTATTTTCTTATTATGATTCATTCTATGGTTCAAATTGTTATGGTTGATTCATTGATTTGATATTGACTTAAAGCAGCTCTGATGTCTGCATAGGTAGTGCTCCTGTTTAACTCAACCATCACATGGACACACACACACACAAAGCCAGTCAGTAAATCTCTCTGGCGCACCAGTTCATAAACCTCACAGCCCCCCACGTGGGGACCGGGACAGTGCTGTGCCATACTAACAGCCAACCTGGGTCTTGAGGCAATCTGCCAGGCATGAGACAACCCCGGACCAATACCCACCACATGGTGACTACGAATCATCATCATGGGCCGTGGAACAGTTGGGTGCCACGAGGCGGGCGTCCAGCTGTGCCCTCGTCTCAGCCTTCTCAGTCAGCGGTGGCAGTCGCAGTAGTGCGGCGGTTCATGCATAAAACATGGGGTCCTTTCTAGTCCCCAGCGCTACCTGTCGGCACAGGCTGAAGCTGCCCTTTGTTCTGCCAGCTCGGCTGGTTCTGAAGCGGCCTCATTTGCGCGCCGTCCCTTTTGAGTAAACGTTAAAACAAATGGATCCATCTACAGTATGCTAATGATGCTACAATTCAATTAGCTTGTCTTTCTTACTCTCCCTCTGTCTTTGTGCCAGCTGATTGGCCAGCTCTGTTAACGGTCTGGCTGGTTTGCCGTTTGTTTGTTTCTCACTGGCGTCTGGACATTTTAAAAGGACAACTGATATAAATGAATGTACATTCAGTTGGCCCGCACCACCTGCTGATCAGGCCATATAAGGATAGTGTGATATTTCCCTGATTACTTTCAGTCATTACAGTCATTATTACAGGCTCATCACCGTCGTTCTCTTGCCCGCTATCATTACGTCATTTCCACAATTATCATACTCATCGACATCGCGCTTTACATTTAAACACTGTTATTTTACATTTGCACGCCCTGTGTTTTTTATGCTGGCTTTACTTCAGCGATTTCCGTAGACATCGACACAAATGCTGCAGTTTTTTGCCTGATATATATAAAAAACACTTTAATTAGCAATTGAAATATGAACGCGTCAGCATTTGTAAGAGATTATTGCTTGAATAAATTGTGTGACAAAACGTAGTAATGATGCCATTATATGAGACATTCATATTGGCGTAACTGCAAAAGCAGTAATTAAAGAATAGTCCTGTCAACATATTCAATTAAATGGACATTTGCCGTCTAACCTGTGTCGTGAGAAAATACATGTGCATGAATCGCTGTATGTATGTACTGTTGCTCTGTCTCACTCCTGTCTCCTGTCTTGTTCCGTTCACTTGGCTGGCTTGGACTTGGAATACTTGACCGCGTGCCTGTGTATGTTCATGTCCCGTTCCTGAACCCTCGCCCACTCATCCGAAGGCTGTGAGAAATCCCCAAGCTTAAGCAACACAGCGGGCTTGGCTGGTAACGCCCTGAGGCTGTCTCCAGTGACCTCGCCCTACAGCTCACCCTGCCCGCAGAGGCGCTCCCGCTTCCCAATACCCTCCGTCCTGTGAGGCCCGGCCCAGAGCGAGGCTTGCCTTACATTGGTAGAGCATGGCGCTTGCAACACCAGGGTTGTGGGTTCGTTTCCCACGGGGGCCAGTATGAACATGTATGCACTCACTAACTGTAAGTCGCTCTGGATAAGAGCGTCTGCTAAATGACTAAAATGTAAATGTAAAATGTGACCACCCCTAAAGTAGCTTAGATGTGCGTCACTTTGAATTCCCATTACTTCGGTATCGTTGTACTTTAATAATGGCAATAAAAGGACTCTTGAATGGTGGCTCTAAAAGTTGCAGCCACAACATTTAGTAGATACGTATTCCTAATCAGGGAGATTTACATGTTGCTATATTTAGATACTTAGAAAATACGTGCTTCCATTAAAAAGAGAAGAAGAGAAATATGTCATTTCATTTGAGCCTCACATGAATGTGACGTTGTCTTTTTTCTGTCATGTTATTTTGTGGGGGGGGTTGGGAGAACTTGTCATGGACTTTGTCTTGATTCACATGCACGCATCTGCCACCCTGTCGCTCTCACCTACACCCTGTCGCTCTCACCTGCCACCCTGTCGCTCTCACCTGCCTACCCTGTCACTCTCACATGCCACCCTGTTGCTCTCACCTGCCACCCTGTCGCTCTCACCTGCCACCCTGTCGCTCTCACCTGCCACCCTGTCGCTCTCACCTGCCACCCTGTCGCTCTCACCTGCCACCCTGTCACTCTCACCTGCCTCTGGCTGGGCCTGGTCATCCTGTTTGCATGGATCATCCAGTGTTATCATCTGCCAGCGGTGTGGCGAGAAAGAGAGAAAGAGAGATACAATCTAAAGAAAAGGGAGGTTAAAAACTGTGGGCCTGGGCCGTGGGAATGTGCACAGGACCTGTGTGTCTGCATCGTGCCACTGGCCTCCACCTGGGGAACACACAACATAAAATACACAACACTGGTTTTCAGTTTTCTCTGCATGTGGGCTGGTTTGCTGCTGTTTCAATTATTGTACTGTGTTCTTATTTAACTGTCAATCACTGTGTTGCCAAGCTGAAGTCTCTCTGATATTATTTGCTCACAGATAACTGCAAAGAGATTGTCTTTACTGGTTTCACGCAAGCAGAGAGCAGCATTCTTTAATGGCTGGGGGAAGGCAGAGCCCTGGCGGAAAGGTAACATTGTCATTCTGAATGGCATGTGAGCTGCCTGCTGAACACTGTGCTGCTTATCCCTGGTGGTCACCTCCGGCTAATGGCCTTTTGTTTCAGTGTGTGTGCAGAAGGGGGTAATTCAACAATTGTAGTCACGGAAATACATCGGCACCCCCTCCTCATCATGACTCATGGCTTTATACACACATGCGTGCATGTGCACTCACACACACACACAAATATTTGACACGCGTGCACACACACCACATTACACACAGACACACACACACATTAGACACACACTTACACACACATTAGACACACACACACACACATTTCTGTATATTATTTACCAGACAGCAGGAATGCCTTTAATGGTCCTATCAAACCGGAGACTTGATTTTATTAATAGCGATGTAATTCATTATTGATGAGAGAGTTTACTACGCACATAAATTGTTGCCGATGCTAACAGGTGTGCCGCATGACAGAGGACATTACCATTCAGCAATGTGCCTCACCCAATCTTTTGTCTATACTAGTAGCAGGAAGGTTGCTAAGCAACTGGCACATAGTCAGACGCATCTCACACTTGCTGAACACACATACTGTCTCCTAATTAAACAAAAAGCTCACGACCAGCACTTTCCATATTTCCATATAAAAATAATTATTGAATCACCCCCCTCCCATTGCAATACTGTGCATTGATTGAGCGTTTACAATTATGACTTCATAGAATGCCATCGATTTGTATATATTATTCTTTACATATAAACTGTAAATGAGAAGCAAATAACTGTACACAAAAATAGCATGAATATGCATGTGGTTATTGCTACAATGACTGTAGATTATTATTATTATTAGAGAGACACATTTCTGATATTTAGAGATGTGACCTGCTTTACATTCTGTTTAGCCATTTACGTGTCCTATTGGAATGACGGCAGTCATCAGCCAATCAGTGGATTAACAAGACCTATTGGTGTGTGGATCCTATTTGGTCCCACAGTGTAACTCAAGGACTTGAACCAACCAGAACACTCACAGCGGTGACGGATTGTTGACTGACAAGCGTCCGGTCCAATGACGCTGCCTGGGAAAATAGGAACTGTCCAAGACTGAGATCAATTGGAATTCTGGGAATAGATGGGACAGGGAACGTTCGGAACGTTGTCTTTTTCCCAGATTCTCAATGTCATGGATACCGACTGAAGCATAAAACTGCCACAAGAAAAAAAGTAAAACATTAAGCACCCCTCTTGGAAGACGAGGCTAGCTACTTTATTCAGATATTGTATTTGTAAATAATAACATGATACAGCACATGGGTCAAGAAGCTCCTGCGAGCCAGGTAAAAGGGTCATGCTTCGACCTCCATATCAATCACTCTCCATGGTATCCCTCCTCGCAATAAGTGTTATTAAGATGCATCAGTTGAAGCACTATATGTTCTAAAAATGAAGTGTATCAATATATGAATTCTGCTTAATATACAGTATAGAGAGAATAACGTGCGATAAGTTGAATAAATGTGACATATGGTTTCATCAATGCTTTTGTTTCCCTTAGACGTTTTGGTGGAATCGATTTCATTGCTCTGGTGTGTGTTTACATGCGGTGTGTTTTGAACTCCAGGGTATGATCCATAAAACATGCAGTTGTAAGCCAGAAAAATGAAGATCTGTAAGAAACTATTTTCACTCTTCCAGCTAGGTTGAACACATAGAACGAGGAAGCTTAATGGGCCCAGTAGAGATGTGTTATCCTGGACACCATAACCCAACAATCAGATACAATTTGCAATAACGATCCCAAACAAAAAGGTACCGATTCACACTGTGATTTTAGCTACTTGTGACAAGAAATTATACACGGGTCTACTACAGCTTATGTAACAGGACAATTCTAAAGCGTCCCTCCATTTACTTGATAGTGAGGGTTGATTTTGACCATCAGTAATTGAGGGATTAGAATACTGTGACCTGAACAGTGAAGACACCTGCCCCCACACAACAACGCACTCTGTGTAGTACCTTACTGCTTAACTCTTTGAGATGTCAACGGGCACCGTTCAGTATCTATTCTATGACAAAAGTGATTTTAAATGTGTTTATTTTTTGAATCAAGGACATGTCTTTTTGTGTCTCTTGTGGACTCCATTGCTTGGTTTACTTGTGAAAGTCATGGTAGCCCAACGCTGTGTTTCTCTCCATTATGTCCACAACTGTCACTTGGGCTTGATCCAGATTCATGTTCTGTATGTTTTAATGTGAGGACAGTTCTAGTTTGAAGTCTGTATTTGTGGAGCCATTTGTTGGCATTCTGAAGTGCATGCTAAAAGAAAAAAACTAATTATAAAACAGGATGACAACATATATCACGTTCAAAGCGATGTGTAAAATTAAATGCCATTGTGAGAAAATCACATAAACATATTTATCTTTTAAGCCATTGTTGTTTATTTTCTTCACACAAATGCACGACAAGTGATGTCTTTGATAGAGGAACGGCTGTAGTACCGCGCTTATCCAACTAAGGTACATCCTTTTTTATAAGACCCTTCAGTCTCACACAGGTAATTGTATTGTAATTGTCTTCGATCAAGCTACACCATTTTACGCTGTTGACGAAATGAAGAAGGATCCATCTTCACCCCGTACTCATACGGCCTATGGTTAACTATAATGATAGCGGTGGTTGTGATTAATGATATGTATTTTCCCAGTTCTCTCTCCTGTGCTGCCTCTCATTCTCCAGCTGGCGTCCAGCAGCAATCAGCCCCTCCGTGCCGGTAACTCCGAGACATCCCAACTATCTTTACACCCGTCGCCATGGAAACAGCCAACGTGTGTCGTGGAGATGTAAACAGCTGGGGATAGGAGTGTGTTTTACAGGGGAAGAAACTCCATACTACCCAACCCCCTTAAGAGAGAGCGAGACATCCTTAGTCAGCCAGGGGGAAAAAACAACCGTAATTTTCTAAATGCCAAAATCGTGACTATGAATATTGCATCAGAGTGCTGTTATCCCCCTGCCTTGCCTCTCTCTCCTCTGCTCACTGGAGCTTAAAGAGACATGGGCTACGTCCCAAATGGCACCCTATTCCCAATATAGTACACCACTTTTGACCAGTGCCCTTGGTAAGTGGATGCAATTTGGAACGCAAACACATACTGAATCCTGGGCCATGAGAAACCACAGACAAGTCTCTGTGAACTAGGCACTTCTGCAACCTATGGTAAAATACTTGTACTAAATGTCTGTGTGAACTGGGCACTTCTGCAACCTATGGTAAAAGACTTGGACTAAATGTCTGTGTGAACTGGGCACTACTGCAACCTACATTGAAATACTTGTACTAAAAGTCTGTGCATCATAAAAACAAACAACATCAAAAAGAGAAAGACAGAGAAGGAAGTGGCAGGGTCAGACGCTTAGTGCTGGTTGAGTGGTGGGTGTCTTAATAACCTCTGTAGAGTAGTTGCGCCAGGTTCTCCACATGATGTTGTGTCACACTGCTGAGAGGGGATGGGGACGGGGACGGGGTCGGTGAGTTCACAACCCATTACGATTAACCTGTCAAAATCAGTTAGAATCCAATCCAGGCTCTGTCGTAGCCGGCCGTGACCGGGAGACCCATGGGGCGGCGCACAATTGGCCCAGCATCGTCCAGGGTAGGGGAGGGAATTGCCGGCAGGGATGTAGCTCAGTTGGTAGGGCATGGCGTTTGCAATGCCAGGGTTGTGGGTTCGATTCCCACGGGGGGCCAGTATGAAAAATATAATGTATGCACTCACTAACTGTAAGTCGCTCTGGATAAGAGCGTCTGCTAAATGACTAAAATGTAAATTGAAGAAGATATTTATATCTGATGAATGGAAACAAGTTTAGATCATCGATACGAAGCTCTCAACGTCAGAGTGGTGCTTTAATCCTAATAATGAGTGTGGTATGAGAGAGGTGTAGTTGAGTAGGGAGCAAAGTGAATCAGAGAATAGAGTGGGTCTCATTTTCAGCCATTGTTTTAGGTTCCGTACTCAGAAAGCCACAGAAAAAGCTCTCAGTTACTGTTAGTGACACAGAGGCCTCCGACGACAACCACAGGGGCTTGCTGTAGTGGTGTGTGCTGAGTGCTGGACGCACTACAGTAATAATGATAGTGTTATAGCTCTCCCAAACAGCAATGAGATGAGTGTTGCTATAATGGCCCTCCAGTTAAAATATGATTCATCGCCCGTGTAGCTCAGTTGGTAGAGCATGGCGTTTGCAACGCCAGGGTTGTGGGTTCGATTCCCACAGGGGGCCAGTATGAAAATGTATGCACTCACTAACTGTAAGTTGCTCTGGATAAGAGCGTCTGCTAAATGACTAAAATGGGAAAAAAATGATAACGATTACATCAGCCTGGTCATTTCAGCGAGTCGGAAAACAACACTGCTATAGTTTTAAATTTGTATGTGTAGCGTTGATAGCGTTCAATGTGTTTCCCCTTAAAGGCCCAGTGCAGTCAAAAACGTGATTTTCCTGTGTTTCATATTCACTGAGTGTACAAAACATAAAGAACACCTGCTCTTTCATTGACATAGACCGACCAGGTGAATCCAGTTGAAAGCTAGGATCCCTTACTGATGTCACTTGTTAAATCCACTTCAATCAGTGTAGATGAACAGGGAGGAGACAGGTCAAATAAGGATTTTTAAGCCTTGAGACAATTGAGACATGGATTGTGTATGTGTGCCATTCAGATGGTGAATGGGCAAGACAAAATATTTAAGTGCCAACTGGAACGCTGCTGGGTTTTTCATGCTCAACAGTTTCCCAAGTGTACCAAGAATGGTCCACCATTGTAGAGTTCTTGTTGCGAGGGCAAAGCGGGAGGTGCAACTCAATATTAGAATGGTGTTCTTAATGTTTTGTACACTCAGTGTATATTTCCACACTATGAGGTTGGAATAATACTGTGAAATTGTGAAATTGATGTCA